TTCATAACATGAATCTTGAAAGTGTAGATAGTAAAATTTCACATGATAGAAAATTTGAAACTTGCAGGCATCATGATAGTGGGAAATGATTTCAATTTTATCCTATCCGAACAATTTATTTATTTTTCTTATCCTATTGTGAGAAGATGGATTCGAAACATTGACCTTTTCAGCTAAGCTAACGCAATGAGTAGTATTTGGGAACATTTATATAAGTCACTTTTTAATTTTTTTTAATTTTTTTTGGTTTTTGTGATCCTTTTTCAAAAGTATGTCAATTTTTATTTTTTCAATCTATTTTTCGATTTTTTTTAAAAAAAATTCAAAAAAACTAATTTTCTTTTGGCTTCCTTTTTTTTTTATTTTTTATTTTTTTGTCTTTTCTAAACTTTTTTTTCAAAATTTTATTTTTTTTTAAAAAAAATTCTGATCTGTGTAATTGAGTAGAACCAAAAGCCTAACTTTTTGATTGAATTTTTTTTTTTTTTTTTTTATAAAGTTCACTAAAAATGAAAAAAAGTCAACCAAAACAAACAAATCCCAAATTCCCTACAATCCCAATCAACAATTAAAGGTCAAGTACAATATAATTATAATGGTTGGTAACTTTTTATCACGAGATAAATTATAAATGCATTTCATGAACTTTGTTGAAAATATAAATTATTACTTGTGATTTAAAAAATTATAAATATTTTATTTTTAGAATTTTTTATTTAATAGAATTAATTAAAATATGAAATTTCTAACTTCTCTTCTATAAAATAATAAAATTACTTAAATTATTAATTTAAATAAATTTTTTATATAAGTAAAAATTATTAATTAATTTATTAATAAAAGTGACTAATTGTTATGAAATACGAAGTGTCAAGAGATGGGATGTAATTTTCAGAATCATAAGAAGTAATTTATATTTTAAACAAATTTTATAAAGTGTATTTACAATTTACCCTACTTTCACGATGTGCTTCTTTTTTAAAAGTGCAGATCATAGATTTCTCCATATATATGTGGGAGTCAAAATTAATTGTTTTTAAAACAATATATGAACAGATAATTTGTGCATATATTACTGCATAAAAGCAAATTTGTCCTGCATTCATTTCTTGAAAGTGATTTCCTTAGGTTAGTGATAAGATAATGTCAAAAGATGTTCATACTTACTTCAATTACATCCAAATTTCTGATGTGTAAATGTTCCTAGGTTAGCTATAATCTCAAATGATGATAACAACTTTGAAATAGTAACAAAAAAAAGTACAAGATGTATAAAAATTATATCAAGAAGACGCAAAAGGTCAAGATAAAAGTATCATATCTTAAAGGTCATATCTCAATTAGGTTGAAACATGAAATAGTGCCAGTCAAATACAAAGTCAATAGCCAAAAAAGAAAATAAAAATAAGAACAACACACTAGATAGATAGACCAAACACTCGCTAAAAAAAATAATTATTATTTTACATTTTATTAATCAATAATATACTTAGAGTACTTATTAATAAAACTCAAAAAGTAAATACACATGTATTTTTCAAGTTCAATAATAATAGGGCTGACTAAATTTTGAATATTATTTAATGTGTCACTAATGTATTAGTTGGTTTTACGAAAAGATATGCAGAAAAAATAGAGAGTGATGTAATTATTTATAGTAACTTTTTTACTTTTTAACTAAAATGTATAATTGACAAACGAAATCATAATATAACTTTCAAATTAGAGTTATCTGTTAGTCACTTTAAAAGCATCAATTATTAATTTTTTAAAGTTAAAAACATTTCTCTCTAACTTTTCAATTATTAATTTTTTAAAACTATTTTGCGTTATAAATTGTAAATAAAAATTACACCAAATACACTCTAGTACATAATTTCAAAAAAAAATAAAAATAAATTATAAATGAGTCTAATAAATTACACCAAACAGTTCCGTGACAAATTTGAGAAAAGACGAATGTGATTGTGCTTGTGTTTGGGCACTTCACATGGATTGTTATACTTAGATGTAACTTGTAAGAGCAAATCCATTGAACTACTGTAATTGTTGTTATTATCATATTAGTTTTATCTTAGAAATTCTTTTTATTGGTCTCTCAAAAGACTGGTTAAAAAATAAAATTTTAAATTGTGTCAATTTCAACACAAATATTCATAATATCATGGGAACCCTTTTGGTACACACTTTTTTATTTTTATACATGTTTCATATTTTGTGACAAATTACATAATTGTCTAGTAAAGTTATGATAATTTGTTATTTAGAATTGAAGTTACATAAATTTATGTAATTTTGTTGTTAAAAAATGTTTCAATGAAAAAATGTATGGTATTATCACAAAAATGAGAAACATTATTATAAAAATATGTAATTTCATTTATGAATCACAAATTGTCGTAACTCTAGCAAAAGGTTACATAACAATATGATATAAGAGTGTGAACCAAAGAAATTTCGTAATATCATTTGTGTAAGTTCAGCTTAGCCAAAAAAGAATTTTGATCAATTAATCTAAATAAATGATAGTTAAAGATCAAAATTGATGTGATGGTCCAAAACTATCAAATAATTACCCACATTTGGAGGGGATGTACTAAATATTTTACTAGATGGAGTGAAAGGGGGAATGAAACCATTCATCCAAAAAAGGCTTTAGGACAAAAGGGGGGTGAGTGACCCTTAATGGTGCCGACCACGCATGCTTCAAATAATTCCATTGTCCAAATGAACCCACCCTTCATCTAGTCATATTGGGGTAGTACAACTTTACCATTTTTTATTTTATGCTGTGAAAGCTTTTGAATTTCTCATATGAATGGGAAAGGAAGAGTATCTCAGTGACTTATAGGAGTTGAAGGACCACTTGGACCACTTTGTACATATGATGGGGTCATTTAGAAATATGAGTTAAAAATTAAAAGTCAATTTTTAATTTATTTTGAGTCATATCGTCTTTCATATAAAAAAATTAAAAAGTCAAAAAAATTTAAAAAGTTAACTTTTAACCATCTTCCCAAAATGCTTTAATTCTTTGAAAGTTAAATGTTAAAAATTGTTTGTTAGTGTTGAAAAAATTTAGTAAGAGTGTAAAAGAAGTATCAAGATGTATTAAAATATGTAAAAATATTTTAAAATGTGTAAAAAGTATATATTCAGATTATTAACATTTTAACATTTTTTGTTTCTTAGAACTTTCTTGAAAAATGATGATTCTGTTTGGTTTTGTTAACAAAATCTATTTTAATTTTTTAATTCTTAATCAAATAAAATCCAATTCCTTAACCACATCCATGTATATGGATAAATTTAAGAGTCAATTTTTGAAAGTATCTAGAATTAAGTGTGATGTTTCATTTAAAAACATAAGCTCCATCATTAGGAACATATCTGTCAATACCACATTTATTCTGGAATTAAGTTATGTATAAAAATTCTAATGATATATCAATTTTCTTTTAAAAATACCATCTTATATTGATTTTATGTATGATTTTTAAAAATATTAGGAATTATAAAAATTTATTCTGATATTTACTCGAAAAATGGAGTGTAGGGTGTGAATTTAAAGTTAATAGGGTTTTAATCATATTTGCAGTAAATGTAATTCATTGATTTACTTTTAGATTAACTTTTTTAAATTATTAATGTAACATTGTTATATAATTTTTTCAATCTATTATTATTACTCATAATTCCTTCTTGGGGAAATTATTACATATGTATGAAAAAATTTATAATTTTAATTATTAATATTGATAAAATTTATTACTAATTTATAATTATTTTTAAAATTTTATACTATGAAATTCCCTACCTTCTTTCCCTTGATATGAAGGGCATCTAAGTGGGGCCAATAAGAGACAGTTTTACTGCCATTTGATGAAGAGAAGGGTACAAAAACAAAAAGTGTAGGATGTGCAGGCATCCAAAGTAGTATGTGAAGTGAATAGGAAGAGTTTTTTTGGGTGGATGTTTTTAATGCCCTCAATAATTCACAAACAATTGTTAGGCCAATTCATTTGGAGTGCAGGCCAACATAATACAAAATTGCAGAGGATGTGTAGTGGTATCCAAAGCACATATGGGGACTATGGATAGATACACTACAAATCTCGGTATCGAATCTTCTGTTTTTAATTTTGTATTTTTCTATCATAAAATATTTATAATTATGTCTTCAGATTTCTATTTCTTAAAATTTTCACGTGATTGAGTAATTATTAGTGATTTAAAATAAGAGAATAAAATAATTTGGAGAAAAAAAAATTATTGACCCAATTCATCTGTTCTTATCTCTCTCTCACACACGCACAAGAACTCGTACCCCGTGTCCCAATGCACTTTTAGCAACATCGTCGTCTCTTGAGATAAAATTGTCTGAATAAAATTTTCAAATTAATTTAAAGTTTTAATTAATAACCTTTATAAACGGGTTAAATCATTAAAACGAAATGAAACATGTGATATAACGGGTTGAATTGTTAAAATAAAATGAAACATGTGATAGGCTTACGAGCCCAAACACTTCTCTCTCGTCATCTCCTGTTGTATCTACTTCGAACCTATATGAGATTTTATTTTTTGAAATTAGAACTTATAATGGGTTAAATTATTAAAATGACATGAAACATGTGACAGGCTTATAAGTCCAAACATTACCCTCTTGTCATTTCCTATTGTATCTACTTTGAACTTATATGAGAAATTTTTTTTTTTTGCAAAATTAAAACTTGTAACGGGTTAAATCATTAAAAATGACATGAAACACGTGATAGACTTATGAATCCAAACACTACCCTCTCGTCATCTCCTATTGTATCTACTTTTAACCCATATGAGATTTTATTTTTCGAAATTAAACTTGTAGCCACCCACATTTTAAGGTTATGATTGGATCATAAATTTGTAGAGAGAAGAAAACATAAAAATGAAATGAAAAACAAAAACCAAACTTTCATTCTCCAATAGCAGAAACGTGGCGAAGAAAAAGGAAAGCATTGTACAGCAGAATGGGCTATTTTTCATTTTCCTCTTTATTTTCTTTTTTCTTTGAAGAACAAATATTGTTACACAGCACAGAGATATAAAAAAAAAATAAAAAAAATATCTGTCCAGACAAATCATTCATATCATAAAATTTTAATATACAACATGTACAAGAGAATTAGAAGGCGATGAAACCTGCATTTTCACTCCGGCAAACACTAGGATCAGCCAAAGAATACGTGCTCAATCTTCCACCAATTAGTCAGTAGGATTTGGTTTTCAGACAGCAATATATATAGCCTGCACTGCTGACAAGTACGATCACACCATGCCTCTGAGCCCTAGCCACCGGCCTTTCTACAACAAATTGAGCACAAAATGTTGGCAGGCGGCATGAGACTCGTACACAGGAAGGCGGGGCAAATCAACCTGCAAAAATAACATATGCATAGTTCAATTGAGTCAGAAATCGTTAGTAAATCTTAACATATACGCAGGGTTAAGCACCCAATATGTTGCGCAATTCGCAAGTGTAATAAGGAGTTGATTGAAATAAAATTAATTCAATTTCATGAAAGCAATGTCAAAATGTGAAGCAGCATAAAAATTATTAGACAAAACATCAAATTAGAAGATTTAAGAGAAGCAAGAAACTAAAGTCGAAGAAGAGAAATTCCCTGACAATATAAGAATTTTTATGATCTATCTTTTATAAGTGTTTTTTGCAAAAACACTTCAACCCACATTCACTCTAATGTAAAAAATATCCCAAAGAAAAATTAGAGAAAAACAAGAAATAATCACAAAAATTCTAATGGTTTGTCAGATTAAGCTGCAAGTGTTTCATTAGTTTGCTGAGCGGCTTAATCTGACATAAAAGTACAAGTGGTACATTCACTAGATTTGTGCAAGTGAAGCTTGTACCTCCATCAATTTGAATTTTTTTCCCCCAATTCACTAGGAACCATAACAACAATCATTATATATATATATAAAGAACTGAGAAAACTAGGTAGTTTCTTCCAGAGTTCGTACCTTCTTCAGAGAAGGCAAATACACCTCCAAGCAAGTCGTCATTGTCCCCATCTTCTTCAGATTTCTCCTTGTCGCAAGGACTATTGCTGCTGTCAACATTAGTGACAACTTCCGTTAATTCAGGGCATTCATCATGACTCGACGCTTTACAGTATCCCTCTTCAAAATATTGCCCAAAATCTAGTGGGTCACGCATATCTTCATGCACTGGACCCTCATCAAGAATATTCACAATCGAGTCAGAATGGTTAGAACTTGTATTTGAAACTTCACCAGTCACAACATTACTAGAAGACTGAACTTCTCTGGCTATAGTTCCTCCAGTAGAAAGTGCACTGTTGTGTGGAGAAGATGTAGTATTTATGACATAATTTTCTTCCGCGGAAGAAATGGTGGTTGCATATAGTTCGCGAGAAGTTGATATGTCAGTTTTTTTGAAGGACCTTTGGATCAGTGGAGTCAATGCTAAAATAGAATTCTGTCCTTCTACTCCATCGTTCTCATTTGCAGTTACGACAATCTGAGGACAAGACCTCAAACTATCCACTCGATCTAAATCATGCACGGTTGCAGGTGTTCTTGATGACCCTGGTGGAAATGCCAATAATAGGGTAGTATTGATAACAAGATTTAACATAATTATGTAACAAGCAAGGTGCACTCTATGTTACATGGACTCTTCAAAATAAATCAAATACTCATACCAGACACATGACACTTGGACAGGGGTGTTGGGATATGTGTTGCATACCTTCCATTAACACTTTTATATATTTATATTTAACACTATCATTATATGTATACACTATTGTATAATTGCTATAAAATGAGTGAAACACCTTTTTGACAACATATATTACATATGACACCATTTTATCTCATAGAATATATTAAAAATATAAGAATATGACTTCTTTGTTTTTTGCCAAGACCTTGTACCCTTAAATTTGAGATTTGATGGATCTAACTTCTAAATACGCACCTGCACTTGTACCCAAGTCCATGTAACATAGTGCATTTCAGAACCCAAACAAAAAGAATTGTCTTACCAATGTGCGGGTTTTCAAGCGAGCGTGACACCCGCTTAGTATGGGAAATTATAGCATCTTCTGAGAACTTCTCCCAACCACAGGGAAGAGAAGAAGATGAAGTTGGATATTTCTGCCCAACGAGGTCACAGTGAGAATAAGATGATGTAAAACATTTACCTCCAGCCAGACCACTGCAGAAAACATCAATGGATAAAAAGCACTAGTCATATATCAACCAACAAGCCCTTGAAAAGAAAGAAAGTGGGAGGGGAGGGAGGTGCTTAGTGGTACATGAGACTGGAAGAAAGACACCTAGAGGTACTGGGGCACAATTTGTTACTAATCAACCTTTTCTGGTTCCACATCAACACTAATTGAAGAAAATAACATGAAACTCAATGATATAAGAAAAACAATATAGATTTACACCTATTAATCCATCTTCATTTAGAATTTAGGAATTAGTGTCATGTGGCTTTTTTTATTATTTTTTGAATGAAACATTTATATATACGACCTGTGTCCCCACATGTCATGTCTGACATTTTTTTGAAAATTATCATGTCAGCTTGTTCATATCATGTCTGTGTCCTTGTCCATGTCCGTATCCCTGTCAGTGTTTCTTAGTTTGACAGCTATAGAATATTGAAAAGTGAGTATCTGATCAGCCAATATAACCCTTCTCTTTAATGCCACAGAATCAATGTTGGACAACTGACTATCAAAATTTTCACCCATCTAAAATGAAGCCACTTTAATAAAGAAAGAGCACTGCTTGATAAAGCAGTAATAGGTCCCACCAATTTGGAAATTAAAATCATTTTTTTCTCACAGAACTGAAACTTCATTCCCACATCAAAACTTCATTGGTAGTGAAAGACTTCTAACATGAGGGAGTAAGAGATTCAAATGCCCATTCAGGAATCCTTGATTCAACCACTAGTGACTGGGGGAACCATCTCATATATATCATTAAAAAGTAACCAGGACATGCAAACAGATAACTGGAAATTACCTGTCGTCACTCCAGTCTGATTGAATCCTGTGGAAACGATTAAAAACAGGGAGTAAATCCTTCCGCTTTATCTCAACTTCGAGAACAGGAATCTTTTCAATCTTAATCTCTCCACCAGTATCATCTTTACTGAGATTATGCTCTTCATCCCCCGAAACACTCATCTTAAAGAAATATATCTAGAATATAGTAGGAAAGATCATAAATAGACTTTATAAAAAAAAATAAGTCAGAACGGAGCATCTCATATTTAAAATTTAAAACTAAGAAATACCTTCGACATTTGCCAAATTGGTATTCTCCTAGACCTTAATTGCACCTCTGCATTAGAGAGATACCAACGAGCATGTTCATGTCGCTTTACCAAATCCTTTTCCACAGTATCATTATCTTGATAATCTAAAGTATCCATAACCATTGCTGCAGATTCTTGTCCACCAGTAGCAATCCCATAAATGCTTTCCTCTCTCTCAGACCAATCTAATCTTCGACAGACATCCCACCATTTAACAGGTTCAAATTTCACACGTAACTCTTCCTCTTGCATCTGCACCAATGAACCTGTCCTCGTTCTCGAAGGAGATTCACCTTGTTCTCCCCCCACTGAAGGCAGAAGTTCATATTGAATTACATTACCAGAAGGAGTATAAACCAATAGGTGCTCCAAGGCATTGACATTTGAGAGAGCTGGTCGCATATGGGGATGCACAGAACTGTGAAAAATGGCAGCAACACCACCAGATGGCAAGGCAGCCTTCCCGGCTGCAGAAGATGCAGCATTGCTGACTGTATTTAGCCACCCAAAAGTACCAAGTCTTATCCTGCTAACCACAGAGAGAGTGATAGGTTGTGGAGGTGAAGGACAAGACTTCTGATTTATCATAAGAGATGAAGAAAACCACCATGGGTGGGATAGAACAGGAATGAGGCTAGGCCCATCAACATGAGAATTCTGTATTTGAAGACCAGTCTCACCACCAAAAGGTGATAGAACAAATATATGGCAAGTCCCCCTGGATGAAACAATAGCTACCCACTGGCTATATTGACTAAAACAAATGTCTTGAATCACCTGTTACATTCAACATGGTGAAAAATTAAGTAAATGACTAACCCATGAATACCCAGAAACATAGATGTATGCAACAAAAGAGAAGGAATAATGTACAGCTGAAGTCATGCCACGACGGAGCTTGTAAAGGTGCACATGAGAACTACTCCAATCATAGCTTTGAAATCCTGATCCATTTTGTGACGGCATGATACGGAAGATATTTATATTGTTCCCATGTATAGAGGCAGAAACTAGGAGAGTACCGCTTGGGTCAAAGCATAGAGCAGAGATAGGACTAGTATGAGCCCTAAATTGTGACACAACATCTCTAGACACATAATCTCGAATAACAACCTGCAACAACCAATAAGAAATATCATCCTTATGTTCAATTTAATTATTCTCGTTGTCAGCTGAAGCATTAGTCACAACAGTTAGAACACTTAAATCCCTCTGGTATTTTGTAAATCTTAGCATTACCACCAGCTGTTAGCTTTTGAGTAGTATTACCTACCACCCACAAAGGGAGAGGTGATGAAGCGTTTAATTCCTGATTTGGAGACGAGTGCATTTGTTTCTAATTTATCAACAGGAAAAGAAAAAAACAAACACAAATGAAAATTTAATAACAGAGAACTCATCTACCAAAACCTTTCTCCCTTTCTTGCTCGGTCTCACATTTTTTGTTTTATTTATTATTTTGCAAAACTTGTTAGGAAAGCAGTTGAACAAAAACCTCATGACCAAATTGTGGAATTCCAGCCATAATACTGGGAAATGAATTTTGTTCTATAAAAAAATAATCACTCAATATATGACTATAAAAAACCAAAAGCAAATATTAATGTCGTTTCCCTTATCATAAAAATTGAATAATGTTTTTCCTCATAAACATGAAATACTGCAATCATCAATTTTCCAAGGTGGATATTAATAGAATTGTTGTTAAACTGTGTAAACTAACCGTCCCAGCAGTGTCAGTTTCAGTTGATTGTGATGTAGCTCTGCCAACTTTCCTGCCCGAATTTGATGATATGGGAGAACCAGAGCCATCAGGAACAAGTTCATGATAATATTTATTTAAAGTTTTGTATCCCATGTCACCCAGATTCATTAATCCAGCAGCTAACTGCTTACTTGACTCCATTGCATATCGAGCCACCAGATTTCCACTGCCAGGTGAGGTGGAAGGACTGACACCTGGAGAAGGGCTAAGACTATGGGGGCTTAGACGTCCTGTGTTCGATGACAATGGGTTGTTGGAAGCATAAGCTAACCATCTGGGGCCCACAGCCATTGGGCCATAGCCATTATTAACTCCAACCAATCCTGGGCCTCCCAACTGAGGAACAGGATAAGTAAGGACACTGAATTTACTTTCAAAAGTTAGTGCATCAAAGCAGTATATCTGCAAGCAAAAGATGAAAGATATTAGTCAATTTAAACTATTTTGATCCACTTGTAAGCTTCTTCAAATTCAAGTAACTGCCATTTTAGACAAAACAACCTTAAGTGAGCATTTCGTTTGACTAGCATCAGTCCTCTCACCCTCCAATCTTATTCCTCTGGCCATTACTTGAATTTAGCAAGCAGTCCCTTAAAATATATAACCATTCACTCTGTCCAAATTTTCTGAAGATATTCCCTACTAAATTATGAACTATCCCCCAACCCAAGTAAAGTTTATCCAGCATGGCCAATATTGGCATATTGGCAGATGGACTTTCAACATACGATGCTCAAATTGCCACCGCAGCTATAAGTCTATTATTAGATCAAACTGAATAATTTAACATAAATGGGTACTTACTTGTGCTGAAAGACACACAGCCACTATTCGTGGACTGCATCTAACCATATGCACAGTTGAACGGAATCTCAGAACATGAACATAATTGTGAGACTTTAATGAGTAAAATCGAACACCCATTGGAGAGTTGAGTAGATTGTCCATTTGAGGTTCAATATAACCATCTCTGACCAAAACGTCTCTCCCATGTTGCATGGGACCCGAGCTTCTTGTTTCATCACTTGCAACAACCAAAACCAAGGGATGTGATGTTCTAAATCCTTCACGGCCCTCAGACTTTTCAGGGATGGGCTGCATCTGTAAAAATGTGACTGGATCATCACGCCTTGAAACCAATTCACTGAAATTAGAAGCATCTTCAACATCAAGGACTTGAAAGCCATTGGAGTAACCAAGTAAGAGAACGCGCTTGGTAGAAGATGGACCCAGCTCTAGTTTGTCGAAGGAAGCCCATAGAACCTGATTGACCAAAATATTTCAGAGCATGCTCACGCAAATGATGTCCAGTGTAGGCAAAAAACATGAAAACTAAAGTACATAAAAGCAGAATACAAAGGAAAAAGAGAAATGTCAGAAATTCATAAATGCTATCCACACATAAAATTGAAGAACAAAATACAATTCAGCTACATATATCATACATATTCACATATCTATGATATCAAGTGGTTCTTTGTGTAATAACTAATAAGCTTTCATCTAATTCAGCAGAATGCACGTTTGTTATATTTTGTAACTCTCTAATGGTGTGAATTTGACTCCCTTTTGTTTGGTCTAGGTTGGTACAATCTTTGTTTAACTTTTCTCTTGTTAAACATCTGCTTAACAAATCTTCAATCCCATCTAGACTTTCAGGCAGCTCCATGTACTAGTGTCTTGCATCAAATCCTAGGCAATAATCTTTTGTTTAAACATAAGCCTACGTTCCTTTTAGCCTTCCTTTTGCCTTTTGGTGCTTCAACTTGAATCAATCCCTATTTGTGCTTTCATTGGTCTCTCAAATGCACACTCCTAAACCAAATTAGACAGCTTTGCCTCATCTTGTCTTCAATTGATGCCACCTAATTTCTTGTGAATTATTTTCTCAGGAAAAAAAAAACTAAAGTTCTTAATATATCTTCTCTTGTATGATCACATATCCATCTCAACATCCTGGCGTTAGCTACCTCATTAGCCAAAAATGAGGATCCTTCACTATATGTTCCAGAAAATATACACAGTCTTATAGTAGAATTATAAAAAGTCGGTGGGAGGGGGGCCGAGGCAAGGTCCACAAAACTTTTGTTACTGACGTATAACTTCGCAGCCCCCCAAACAAGGCGATTAGAATATTGAATAGAAGACAAGTCATAACGTGTCCAAGAATTTATAAAAGTAAAGTTTATGAGAAGTTAGAACTATCTCTAACATGAGAGCACTGGTCATTCATGTATGGGAAGTTAGCTATAACTTTTTAATTGGTTTGTAAGGGAATTGAAATAGAAATACAAACTCTCTCTCTCTCTCTCCATAAGTCTTGACTATATATCTCTCTAATACAACTACTCATGTATATACACTGCACCAATTGAGACCACTATCTCTCACACAGGCTGCTATAGTTTTTGATTGGGCCACATGTGAGGCTTTGTGGGCCTACATTGAGTACTATTTAACTAGTTTCAAATTTATTACAAACCCTTTGGTAACCCACCTAGCAGGGCCCACACCCAATGCCATCCTTCTAGACCTCCTAATGATGGAGTCTTGGCCCCATCCTTGGATATATATCTAAACAACCTTCAACATTCTTCTCAAAAACTAATTGAATAAATCTTATTTATTCTTCTCCAACCAAGCTACATTACACATTAAAAATTAAAAGAAATCAAGGAAATTAAACACCAACATAACCTAAAACTTATTATTGAACAATAAACACCTATGGCTCAATTCATAGTTTCATCATCCCCCAAGAACAACTTCCATTGAGACCTGAAAGGAGCTGTTTTGAAGACAGTTCAATTTCTCAACAATACTACTAAACGAAATTTCATTATAGTAATTACCACGTAGTGACAGATGTGACTTCATGGTGCTCAATTTTGGTCTGGGAAGGAAATCTACTTCTGGCTACCATACGATGTGTTGCATCATTATTTTAAATTTGCAATAACCTTTAACTTCTTTGCAAATATTAGACCTGATACAAATATAAATTCCACTGGAGGCTAGTAAGGGATATACATGTTTTTGACAAGTAGTATATGATGCATGTTTGACTGTATGTTGGATGCAGTATGCACATTCCAAAATGAGTGTACCCTACGCAGATATGGTACATGCTCAACACAGTCTGTTGGACAAAGAACCCAATAGGTGTGTTTAACACACAAACAGAGGATTACTTCTTAGTCCTCATTCTTTAGAAGCAGTGGCGAATCCAGAAAAAAATTTCAGGATGTTCACAGTGAGTACTCCAGAAATTTTTTTCAGGGCAAACATTTAAAAATTTAATTTTTTTAGACTTTTCAAATCACACACAAATAAATAAAATAAATAAAATTCCAATATATTGATATCATTGTTTCAAAAAATAAAATGTAAATACAAAAATTTACATAAATATATTTTATTTTTATCACTAGCATAATTTTAAAAAAAAATTTGAGAAAAGCTCCTTTAATTCAAATTGAGATAAGCTATAAAATTGTTGATTAACATTAATATTCAAGTGGTACACTTGTTGGGAATTGCAAAATTTGAGATAAGCTATAAAATTGTTGATTAACATTAATATTCAAGTGGTACACTTGTTGGGAATTGCAAAATCTCACAATTTTGTGAATGGGGTACTTTGCATGGGCTAAGGAAGCAAAACTCCAAAACACGCCATGTGTCACAAAGCATATATATTGATTAAAGAGTTATGGGCTGGGCTGGGTTGGGTGTTCAAGAAAGTAGGCTGAGTGGGTGTTCAACTGTGGTGGGTGTTCAGGAAAGTGGGTTAGGGTGTTTAGAATAGAGAGTTAGTGTGTTCAACATAAAGTTTTGGACTAAATTACATATATATAATAAAATAAATCAGGGCGTTCAATTTTTTTTTTTTTAGATAGGCAGAGTGTTCAATTGAACACCCAACGTTGGATGTAGAGTCGCCCCTGATTAGAAGTTCGATAAGGCACCTACTTAACATCTCCTCTGTAATGTGCCAATTTCATAATAAAATAGTTCCTACACTGGAAGTGCTACATTGCACAGAACACCACCTACAGTATAAAAGAAGAGATCTTCAATGCTTCACTAATCCAATAATATCCCATGTGCTATTTTTATTTTGTAAGCACAGATAAGAATTATTGCCACAAGGAAGTGGAGTCTCCTAACGTGACTGCAGAAAAAAAAAAAAAAACGAACACCGCTGTGATGAACCCTTTTTCTTTCTACATATAGATGCATATATATTTTTTCTAATTCAATACAATATGAGAAAGTTTCTAGTGAAAAACAAGATAAACCAGCAAATAATTCGAAACACTTCTTACCATTGCACTTCAAACAGCAGCTTTTGTCATAATTTTTAAGCCAGTAAAAACAACTCAACCCACTGACAATTTTCAATTCTCAAGAAATAGAAAAAAAATGAATAAATTCTTAAAAAAGAAAAGAAAGCCATCTGCAACTTGACATGGTAAAAGCTTTATACATTAAGAATATGAGCTTCTTATTGTGTCTTACTAACAGAAGCCGACCAACACACTCCCTAAGATATAAATCAACAAATGGCCAATGATAAATTGCACTCTTCTTCCTTTTAACATTTTTGTTGTTTCTTTGCATTTGAGTAAACAGGAATTCACACAACCCTTCAAATAATTAACCAACCACAAATCTGACATCCAGCAACTAACCCAATCAAAAACCCATCTGTTCGCTATTTTAGACATCATTCACTCAATCCAAATCACAGGCCTGTTTGGTTACTAAGAAAATCTAGACAAAGTTGAGTCAATAAAAGAAATCTAATTACTTCTCAATGCCACAAAAAAAATAATAAAAGTATAAAATACTCTGTTTAATCCAAATCCAACTACTTGACTTACTGTAAATGATCTTTCTCATTTTCCAGAAACTAAAACAATGTCTTATTTTTCTTGTCCTCAGTTTCTTGAGCAAACAAACACAATCTCAAATACTTCCCTCATATAATTAACCAACTACAAATCTGACAACCGGCATCTAACCCAATCAAAAGCCCATTTGTTCGTCATTGTACACATCATTCACTCAATCGAAAATCCGGACAAAGTCGAGTCAATAAAAAACTAATTAATACTCAATGAAACAAAAATGTTTACCCCGACTAATCTGAATCCAACTACTTGGCTTACTTAAATTGATCTTCTCATTTTCCAGAAATAAAAACAATGTTGTAATTTTCTTGTTCTCAGTTTCTTGAGCAATCCCAAACACAATCTCAAATACTCCCCAAACATCATCCAACAAAATAACATTTCCAACTAGTGAATCAAAATATGATCAACTAAAAGCACAAAATCAAACAACAACCATTCACATTTTCCAATCAGTACTCAATGAAACAAAAAACTTTTTTCTGTCTAATCCAAATCCAAACTACTTGCCTTACTTAATTTGATCACAATCTCAAATACTTCCTCAAATTCATCCAACAAAACAAGGTTTTCAACTACTAAATCAAAACACAAACTATAATCAACAACCACGCACATAATTAAAAAGTAAACACGATTCTGATTAAGGTTAAATTAATTAATTCGTTAAAATCGAGAGAGAGACCTGGTCCTTGTGTTGCTCGTCGGAGTCGCCGGAGATCGATCCAGCGACGGAGGCTCCGGCGGAGCGAACGTTGGAAGAGACAGTCTTGATACAAGAAGAAATGAACCTGAGAGAATGGGGGATGAAGCCATTGGTGGTGGTGTTTGGTTGCTTGGTCCTGCTGCTTTCTAGGGTTTGCTTCATAATCAGAGTCCTCTAGAGGTTTCACCAGTCACCGGGTAGTTACCGGCAATGAAAACTGCTCCACCACCACCACCACCACCGCCTCCGCCTCCCTCCGCCGCCGACTGCCGCCGGTAAGTGACGATCAGATAGGGCATTTAAAAAAAATGGGCCGCCGGAATCTGCTTCATAATCAGAGTCCTCTAGAGGTTTCACCAGTCACCGGGTAGTTACCGGCAATGAAAACTGCTCCACCACCACCACCACCACCGCCTCCGCCTCCCTCCGCCGCCGACTGCCGCCGGTAAGTGACGATCAGATAGGGCATTTAAAAAAATGGGCCGCCGGAATCTGACACACGAAATGATTCCGGTGAGAAATTGGTGGATTGGTGTCGTGTTATTGTTGTTGTTGGTGGTGGTGTTTGGGTTTGACCTTCACAGAGACAGTTCCTCTCTCTCTCTCTCTGTCTCTCTCTCTAGCTTTCTGGCTCTCTGCCTAAATCGTGCCGTAAGCAATCTTTGAAAAATACCAGAAAAGCCCCTCCGATGTTCCTGATAATGTCATTGAGATCCCTGATTGTTTCTTGATTTGTATTACTACCCCTCTAAATGTTTTTGGTTTGCAGCACGATGTTCATAAAGTGAGGAGTTTTTATTGTGTTTTTTTGTTTTTTTTTTTATAATCAATGCTATCAGTTCAATTAGATCCGAGTTGCGTTGTATCTAGACAATTTCATAGGACAAATCTCTAATAGTCTCTTGGAATACTTGAATTCTAAATCTTGAATTTATTTACTCTTGAGTTACATTGTATACAGCTTTCAGTTATTTATTTATTCTTGAATTACATTGTATCTAGACGACTTTCAATTAACGACGAAGTAAATCTTAATGATCCTTTGAGATTCTAAATCTTAAATCTTATTCTCATATATTTACTATTCGATTGAATCCTAAGATTGTAAAAAGGTCAATAATAGGTTGTTTGAGATTAGTTTAAAAACTTAATATATTAATAAAAAAATATGTTTAAATTTTATTTATTTATTTTTCAAGTTGATTTCAAAGAGACTAGTCGAATGTGTTTTTAAAAAAAATCGAAAATAAGTTGAGATCAAATAATTTGGTTTGTTTAAGTCCAATTGTAATATGAGTTTGTATTGGAAAGATTTGAGTAAACAGGAATTCACACAACCCTTCAAATAATTAACCAACCACAAATTTGACATCCAGCAACTAACCCAATCAAAAACCCGTCTGTTCGCTATTTTAGACATCATTCACTCAATAATATGATACTATGAAATATATTTTTTATCTTAGGAGATACATGGTATAAATTTGACTTATTGAGAAAATTTATTTTTTAGGAATTTGATATTGATATTTTAAGTATATAGAATTAAGTTGGACTATTTTCTAGATCCATTTTAGTCAGCCTCAATAATTCTTTCGGCCTAATTGATGTAGAGAAGCTTGTATATACTAAGCACACGTAACAAGAACAATACAAATAACTTAATACAAACACTCTTTATATTTTATTTATAGTAATTCATCTAAATTGATTTTCTTTGTCACGAAAGATTGTTTATATAGAAAAAATGTAACTTATTCCCCAAGCTAAGCTTCAAAAGGAAATTCAAAGAAAAATTCTCAAACCGTGACTAGCTAAACCCAACTCAATTATCAATAATATATAACATATCTGTGTGTATGGTGTATATTTAATTTATTTGGCAAGTTGGGTTTGGGCAATTTTTTGACTAAAATTCACAAAAAGATAACATAAGCTAAAATAGTTAATAACATAAAATGTCATATTAAATTCATAATTATTTTACTTTTTCTCTCACAAATATAACATTCAACTACAAAAAAAAAAAAAAAAAAA